TTTGGCTCTTTCTGTACATTCGGTACCTGGAAAAGCAGGCAAAGGCTGAGCAGCCTCTTTTGATATACCATCTTAGCCAAGAAAGCTGTTCAACATAACTTGTTATAAACCTACCCTGCATCCTGGGCTTCGTGCGCTCGAATCACGGATAACAAATTGTTGTTTTGCAAAAATTCACAAATTGCAGGGTAACTGAAAGGTAAGGTTTTGGAGACAGGTTAGTAGGTGCTGAAATAACCAATTATCTTTCATGAGAAGCTACCTGTGAATTTACACAGATGGGCTTTATCACACAGATCAAAATGTTCCTGGAGACGAAATGTCAAAACAGATTCTGGGAAAGTTACGAAGGCAAAAAGGCCACTGCCAAAAGAAACACATCGCCAACCTTTTTGAACTTCAGGAGCCCCATGTGAAGTATTTTTTCTCAAATTCTAGATATAAAGAGTAGGTCTATTTGTGAATTATAACTTAGAAGAAGGTAAGTAACCAGTTCTTCACTATTTTCTCTGTTTTACATATGGATGATTAACTAAAGAATTTAGAATGTGTGGAGAACACTAGTTGTGCCAAATGCTGCATTCTAGTTGATTGTAATATAATGACAAGCATTGATGGTTACGACCAGGCTGCCACTCCACAAATGTCCAGAAAAGGGACATTCCTCACAACAATATTGAATGACCATAAAGGCTGACTGGATAGGGTCATTTCATTAAATTAAAAAAGAACTGGATTGTAATGATCTCCCAGTTTGTGAAATCTTATAAACATTCAGGAAGGTTCCGCTACTGCAATAAAACCCCCCTTGACCTAACTTTCAAACGGTCACTTTCATTGTATGGGATCAGAAGCTTTGGGGAGCAGAGGTAATATGAGCAATCAATGCAAATTTCCCTCGACATCCAAAGTTGTAAAAGTGGAAGTAAAGAAGAATACAAATTTCTCAGAAAGCACTCAGAAATAAGTCACATTTATAAAATGTGACGATTTCTCAGTTTTGAAGACTGCCTTATAAGGAATCTCGGTGATGTATTACGCTCATTACCCTCAATTCAAGGTACGTTCCTGCATTAAATTTCTTTACAATTCTCTGTAGCCCTAATAAACTTGTTTCGTCCTTTCAAAAATTATCTTGCTAACTATTTAGATCTTGTAAATTATCTCAGTAAACAGTAAGCAGCGTTAAGGTCTTGCAGATATCTAAGAAAAAAATTATTGGTAACTCAGAGGTGAATCTTTATTGTGTTATTTTAGAGTGAAACATTTTAACTCTTCTATAAACAAAATGTTGCTGAGTTCCAAACACCCAGAGGCCTGGGCCCTGCAGCCTCTTTCCATTCCCTTTTCATTTTAGGAACATTGTTTGAACACTGCCTCACCTGTAGAAATAGGAGCAACCTCGAACAGTATTGTGAGTAAAGTGCTCCAAGGTCTTCTCATTGCCATAATCTTCCGATGGATCGGACCACAGTAGGTCACACATTGGACCAAAGGCTGGAGGCTCCTTAAACCTATCTAACTGAAAGACAAATACACGCACAAAAAAAGAGGCAATTATGAATGCAAATTTCTTAAGACAGGGGTGGGCAACCTTGGCTCTTTTATGACTCGTGGACTTCAACTCCCAGAATTCCTGAGCCAGCATGAGGGAAACTTTGGCCCCTTCATGACTCGTGGACTTCAACTCCCAGAATTCCTGAGCCAGCATGAGGGAAACTTTGGCCCCTTCATGACTCGTGGACTTCAACTCCCAGAATTCCTGAGCCAGCATGGCTCAGCTTGGA